ACAGTAATAATATCGACATACAACAGTATATTGAGGTCATAAGGAGATATATCATTTGTCATTATGAAATAAGAATAGAAATAAGATATATAAAATGTAAGTTTTTTCAGTTAAATGAAACACAATCACATGAAAAATAACATTAATAACCAAAATTTAGATGTTTAGTGGGCTAATAGAGTATAAAAAAAGATTACATAAAATCAATTGTTAGGTTTTAAAAAATAGACAAATGTTTTTAGTAATAAGGCGTTAATAAATGACAATAAATAAACCTTTTCAAAACTAACTTTTCCGAGAAAGGAATTTGTTTACATCCTCCTGCCTGATTGACACTCGAGAAATTTAAGTAAGTACTTCAGGTTTATATTAGGTATCTGAATGTTTACATATATTTATTTTTAGTTTAGTAAATAACGTACCTGGTCCCCGTCCATGAAAACAATAGGGTTCACCATGATTGTGATGATGACCAACCAACTCCGTCCACTTTGAGAGGCGACGATGGCCACTCACTGTCTTACTGTTTCTTTAAGGCACTTACAGTATATAAGGAATAATAATTACAAAACTAATCGATAACAATGGAAGAGTTTGGGGAAAGGTTCTCTTAAGCGGAGGTTTTGTACTGTGGTGTATCGATAGCTCAGCCTCTCTACCTGTACTGAGTCCACCAGAAGTGACCAGGTAGAGAATTTTGTGTTACACCTGCCAGAGCCACGATAGGTCCCGTCTTAGTAAATTCCTTCATAATTTCCATTAAATATTATTTCCTTAACTTGTATGTCATCATTCAAGAACACAAGCATATAATTCTTTAAATATTTCAGAGAGAGTAAAGTTATGCATGTACTAATTGTGTAATAGCGTGATAATACAAACTGGCACCTGAGGAATCGACATTACGGCTACCCATCGATCTACCATGATAATTGACCTGCTGTAATACCTGATAATATATTTACGAGTCTTTGGTGATATTGTCCGGTATACCCACTCGACTCATGACTCACACTCACGATGTACTCCTACTCAACTATGTATTTATCCATTATTGTGAGAGGAAGAGTGAGTCTCAACAATAGGCTACTTGACCTCACCAGCTCGTGCAATATATATGGAGGGGTCGATCATGGTTTCTATAATTCAGTTCTTTACCGGATAAAATTCCATAGGAGACAATTTCCATCAGACAAAATCCCACGTAATAAAGAATGTTTATATTTTGGATACAATTCTTTCTCGCTAAAGTTGTTTATGTTTTCAGCAATTTGTTCCCGCCAAATTTGTTTGTTTACAGCAATTTGTTCCTGCCAAAATTGTATCGCCGTTTCATTATGAGAAATCATTGAAAACTCTGTCGCGTTATTATTATACAGTATTATTATAAGGCTGAGTCAATTTACATTCCTTGAGAACAATTGCAAAACAAAGCTGATGTATCTCCTAGCCTGGCCACGAATACCTAACATATGTCTCTTAATCTAATCTGAGCGAAAATAATGTAACCATGAAAGGCTGAGAGAAAAAGAAAGTATCATACTTTTACGTTTACTTCGCCACTGAACGGCTCGTTAGCCTCTTGGGCTGTCGGTCACGTCTTTGTTACACACTGTTAGGAAGTACTGGGCATCCACTAGCTCCTGAATGTATCTGAACCTGCTCCAGTGCTGGTCAAGTCTGGTCTTGAAACAGCTCACACTCGGTGCCGTCACAACAATTTCTGGCAGGTTGTTCTCAGAGTTTACAACTCTCGCTCCGAAAAAGTTCGCGCTCACAGTTTTCTGGACCCCTTGTGGGGCGGGCGTCTGCCAGGTCCAGGTATGGACACTCGACTGATTAGTGCCCTTTGAGATGTTTATACACCCTAATTAGGCCCCCCTTGCCCGTCTTTAGTATAAGTTAGACAGTTGCTGGCGCTCTAATCTCTCTGGATAACTGAGGTGCCAAAGTGCAGGCACCAGTCTAGTGGCCCTCCTTTGGACCAGACGGGGTGACAGTACTCCAGACGGGGAAGCACCTCACTTTTGAAGATCGTCTAGATACCTGAACGACCTTCTCATAAAACCGAATAATATAGTTGTTTGATTCACCTTCTCACAATGGCCCGAGAACTTCAGTTCATTGTCAACATGCACACCCAGGTCCTTTTCACATTCAGTCTCTATTACTGCAGTTTCTTCGTCCCGTTGGGACTTATGATACTCATCCTTCCCGTTGGTACGTCTCAGGTGCATCCTCTTACGGTACGTGACATTGAATCTTAGCAGCCAGTGAGTATATGAGAGAGAGAGAGAGAGTGTGTGTGTGTGTGTGTGTGAAACAGTACATTCTCCAGGAAGCAGAGAAGAATAAATCATGTACACAAGGAATGCAAGTCCATATTGACTTTTTGTGAGACAGTGGCCAATGGCTGTGCCTCTGCAAGGTGACTGGCAGAGGAGGTCAGTTACTTGGGTGTGTGGACTGCAGTCTCTTCAAAAGTGAACGAATTTTGGGAGATGTGAACGAGCCTTTGGAAGATAATAACGACTTTTGGAAGATGAGAACAACTTATAGAGGATGTACAAACGACTTTTGGGAGATAAGAACGACTTATAGAAGCTGTACAAGACCTATACAGGATGTAAATGACTTTTGCAAGATAACAAAACTCTATAGATGAAAACGACCCGTAGAAGATGTGAACGACTTTAGGAAAATGACAACGATCAATAAATGAGAATGACCTTTAGATGTGAACGTCCTATAGAATATGTGAACGACCCTTGGAAGATGTGAATGACCTTTGGAAGGCCTGAATGACTTTTGGAAGATGTGAACGACTTTTGAAAGATGTGAATGACTTCTCAAAGATGTGAACGACCTTTAGAAAAAGTGAACGACTTGTATTCAGTGCTCGTTCAAGACAGTGGTCAAATATTTAGCTTCCTTTGACTTGTTCACGTCAGATCAACAAGAGACAATTGGCTGATATATATATATATATATATATATATATATATATATATATATATATATATATATATATATATATATATATATATATTGGGATTAGATCCAATTAGTTTATATTACCATTAGGTTATGTCTGGTGGGATTTTAGGTTAATTAAGCTAATAATATAGTAGATGGGGATAGGATTGGGTCAGGTTAAGTCATGGTAGGTTAGGTGTTCTGTTCACTGTTCAGCCAAGTTAACACAGTTGACCTACATAGCCACGGAAGAAGTGGAGGATGGTGCTGCGGTAGAGAGACGTGTGTGGCCTTACAAGAACCTTAGTCGCCTGACCATTATTAATGTTGACATTTTGACGACAGTGTGAGCCAGCCACCACTACCCAGCTAGCCTTCAAACAGTCTACTTAATTATTCACTTACCATTTACCGCTTTTACTGTACTTTCACCATGGTAAAAAAAAATAAGTGAAAATACAATATTATTTTTTTGTCTTATAAGTCCCCTTTGCTTGTATAATTTATATGTATTCATTGTTTTTGGATTGTATTGTAATTCCCTCTATGAAACTAGAATTGACTTTCTTTTTTTTCGTCAATACCTGTATGTATATCTTCCTGAGGAGTAATTTCAAGTATACCTACATTGCCTGTATACACGCTGAACTGTATACCTGCATTGTATATATGCATGCTGAAATGTATATGTATAGTAGCTAAAACAACTATCTGTGCGGGTGGGGGTCGATATGCTCCAAAATTTTACATGTGACTAGTGACAGCCCTCATATACCAAAATTTATCGTCCATGGTCTCATTGTTTCCCACACAGTACGCACAGATACTTTTACCTACTGTACCTGCCTTGTTTATATACATACTGAGCTGTATACCTGTAATGTCTATATACATGCTGAACTGTATCCCTACACTGTTCTACATACATGCTGAACTGAATACCTGTATAGTCTATAAACAGTAATACATGCTGAACTGTATACCTGCATGTCTATATACATGCTGAATCAGTGTAAACTAGTACTGTAATGACAATTTTACTGAATAAATATTTACCTTCCCATCAATCACATTGAAGCAAGAGAAATAGGACTTGACCTTACTCAACCAATCACTGACCTTTTAAATACCTCCGGAAGTGCATCAGCGTTTATTGACACATAATTATCTCAACTGCTTGTAAGAATATTCATCTCCAGTGTGAATGCTTGCACAGTTGTGGATAAGAATCATTTGGAAGGCAGGCAGTGTATGAGAGAGTACTCATAGAGATGGTAATTACAAGTCTTCAATTTTCTTTCCAAACCAGATTGATTGTTGTGATATACTTATTTTTAATTTCTCTTTACTGTACTCTTATTTTCTCGCTTCCCCAGGCCCTGTTGTGGGTCGATGACATGTGCCCGAGTGGACAGTTCCCCGTAAATGAGGCAGATGCAACTTACACTCATTCCCTGATGAATTCTTTTTGTCAACAACTATACTGTACACTTGCTGACAAAACCCATGACTCTTCAGGCTTTTACGCCCTCAATGCACGAGTCATAAAGGCAAGCATGAACTCCGCATGCTTCCCAGATGGGCACTGTAAACGCTTCTGCGCTCCACCTTGCACAGGATGTAAGGAGGTGCCCAATAAACTAGCCCCCTCGGGGGCAATTTATCTAATCTATACACTCGCTCCAGAAAGTATCTTTACGATTTTGTACAATATAACACAACACAAGAAGGATTTTGACAACCCGACCAAGACAACAGGAGTCGGTGTTCATTTTGAAATTCATTGGACCCCTCAGTAGAGATACTTTTTGGAGCGAGTGTAGTATATATCTATATACTGTACAGTGTACTGCATATGGGTCATTCCAGGCAAGAAAAAAATTATGTTATAATTTAGCAATTTTTACATTACCACACCTTAAAGTTACCTTACCCTCAGTGCCCTATATGCCACACACAAGAACTGTATTACAAGTATCATATACTGTACACTGACCAGCTGAGGATAAAATCAAAACCAGAGAGATTTTTCAGAACTTCATTCTAAAAAAATTAACTATTTACAAGCCATTTTTCCGACAGCTTTGGGTGGATACAGGTACTTAAATAAAATAATAAAAATTAATGGAATAATAGACTTAATGTACACTGCTACAGACATATGCTCTCAAAAAATTAAACGGAATATAAACTTGATAACCGTAAGGCCTTGGCATGAATGCCTAGTCGGTGAATTTACCCACGACGAGCCACGAAACTAAAGAGTCCATAAATGCTTCTCATTAAACCAAACGACACGAAACCATTTTTGTTTTTTGTTTTGTTTTGTGACGACCATAGAAGGGAAAAAAGAAAATGGTATAACAGTACAGTAGCTTAAAACCATAACTGTACTGTACCACCCTTGGAAGTAATGGTCAGGACCTAAAGGAGAAGAGATAATGAGATGTAGATACTGGAACAGGTAGACTTAGTTTACAGAGAGAAATGATTTTGGTTTGAAGAAAGATAAAATAAAAACAGAAGAAGGAAAATTATAGAGATGAAGAGAAACATATTCTAATCACCAGGAAGCTTGACTACTCTTCTGGACCTGTTGATAGCGAGGGGCCGAGGGCCTTAAAACCTCAGATCAGATATGACGCTCCATAATTACATTGGTGAGAGAGCATGCACACTTCTCACCACCAGACTGATGCTGCATGACAAACATACATGTAGTATTTTGGATATGACACATAGGTATCTCAAGTGTAAACAAGGATTACTTGAAGATTAGACACCTTAGTTTATTTCACCTGACTGAACACCCAAATGCTACCTGAGAGGTTAGATTAAGTTAGGTTAGGTGTTTAATTGTCAGGTCAAATAAGCTGGAGTATCTAATCTTCAGGTGAGCTGTATTTAAATTACAATTTTATTAGGCGATTTAGTAATGACCCCTGTTAATAGTTAAATAGAGGCAGGCAGTTTAACGAGAACTTAACCGACAGTTTGTAAGAATGTCTCGTTTAAAGTGTTTATTTTTCCACGGTGAAGGGCTCCATTTTCCAACAGATAATAAACTATGAAATAAAAACCAACATTACTTCTGCCAACATATAAATCTAGAGCTGAAGAATATGTTTAATTTATTATACTTATAAAGCGTTTTAAAAGTTATTTGTAACCGCATAAAAATATACAAGTTTTCATCTTCACTTACTCCACAGTGATGTACGACTGACACAACAAGTACTTACTAAAGCACCTTGTTACTGTGGATGGCACACACACACTAGTTGGCAACACACAAATAGTAACATCACCAGTGTACAGTTAGTTTTTCTATGTACAAAAATAAGCTAATTCTCACAAAACTCAACAGAAGATACAGTACAGCACTTCAAGGATAGGAAACTGTACTTAAATTTGGCAATATCTTCATGGTCAATAGAGTACAGTACAGTACAGGGATTTGTATTCAGTGTGTAAGTACAAAATGTGGTTACAGTGAAACCTCCATATAAAGAACTTCTCTTCTTTGTATAATCAGTTAAATGGAGGTTTCACACCTAAAGAGCCCTCGATAAAAGGACTTTCATCTCTATATAGTTTGTTAGATGGAGGTTTCACATCTAACGAACCCCCGATATAACGGATTTTCTTATCTATACACTGTAGTCCATTAAATAGAGGTTTTACTGTACTGTATGCTGAACCCTCATCAGGGGAGGTAGACATCAGTACTGTACTGTACAAGGACTTACACTGGGTCAACTTTCAACAGATTCTCTCGCCTTCATTAAGTACTTCTGTGTTTATATACAAATATGCAACAGTCACAACAGGCAATACTCAACATTTTGATATTATTCCAGAAATAAAAAAGTTTATCGAAGTAGTTATCGGTAATTAATCAGCGACAGTGTGTGGGCGAGTTGTTTACGACAAGCAGTACCACAATTATTTACAAGGGTTACCTATTGACCAGACCATAACAAATACAAGGTGTCTTCCAAAAAAATGTATACACACTGTCATAACAAATTTTTGTGGCGATTATTTAAATGCTTATAACTACAACAGCAACATTGTCCTCACATGTGGGAGACCTCACACATCAATGAGCGAAGGCCATGTTACTCTCCTAATACTGTACAAGCATTCACATCATCCCCAACTAAATCCATAAGGTTGTGTGTATACATTTTTCTGAGACGCCGTGCATAATGTAACTTATGTCTAAGACTGAGTACCAATATTTTGTCATGTTAAGGCAGTAATAGTCAACAATAAGCAACTCAGTGTCGTGGCGGCCAGAAGTAACCCCTAATGACCGCCTACACCACCACAACTACCGTACTGTACACTAACATTTACACCCAACTGTACTGAAAGATTTAAGTTACAATAAATTTACAGGTACGGCAAAAACTCCACCTAATAGTCCTTGATCTCATGGATACAGTCCGGTAGACGTGAAAACTCCATCTGACGAACCCTTGATATAACAGACCTCTCACCATAATATTACACTGTAGTCTGCTAGATGGAGTTTTTACATCTAACGAACACGTGTATGACAGACTTTTCTTCCCATATACTGTAATCCATTATATAGAGGTTTCACTGTAAAGTTAAGGAGAAAAAGCCATTTTTTTTAAAACCACAAACTCTGCGGTCAATTTTCACAATAAGCTGAAAAAAAGGAACTACAGCTTTACCTCCATACTACTTTAAATACAAAACCAACTCTGACACAATTATAACTCGGGACGTCAATGAAGAAGTTACCAACCAGAACAGATCCAGGCAATGTGACCAGAAGCACGAACTTATCATCAATGCGTAACATTCACCTCCTCCAAGAGATCAATAAAGCGAATTCCATCAATAACTTTCCCACGAGTACAAATAGCTGAGGACTATTTGTACAAGAGCCCAACTGATCAGTCACCAACTCCCACAGTTTAACACGGTGACCCATACCATCTCTTCCAGTCAACACCTGTCCATACCCTTACTGAATACAAATTAGCTGATAAGGCATTAGGCATAAATATGAAATGGATGTCTACAATGTTACTTTTAAAATAATGTACATCACAGTCAAATCAGTTGACATACAGTACAAAAAAAAAATCTTGGAATTTATCATCATAAACCATGTCAATCACCATGAATGCTGTACTGTACTTGAAACCCTTACAGTCTACACATGAAAAGGTTCTGACAGCACACTCAAAAGTGACGCTGAAACATAAACTTCAACACATTTACTTCATTGCCTCTGCACTGTTGTTAATATTTTTATATACCTCCTTGGATTTTGGTTTGAATTTATAAGTTTTGAAGAGAAACATTTACTTTCCTTCACAATGTAAGAATCCCATCTCACCCAACCAATATTTTTACACATTAGAATTTTGAAAGCTATTGTTTGTTGTCATAGTTACAACAACACCGCTGCCCTGGTCACACCCTCAACTACTTGTCACGTTTCTTCTGAAACACACAGCACTTCCTCTGGTCCTGATGCAGTCTGTGTAAACTTGTCTTCTTTATAAGATTCTAACTTTAAAATAATTTAAGATTTTTTCGCTAAGACGGCAGCGATCCTCTTCTTAATGGACGGCATCAGTTGAATATGCTCGTCCACACACTGCATGGCACATCCCTCGAACTCTGCCTTGTATACAGATACCTGCAAGAGACAAGTGGCAAGTGAATGACAGAACTCACATTATCTGCCTGCACAGTAATACTAAACAGTATACAGTATTGCAAATAAAAAGTTAAAATTCCCTTTCAAATTACCAACAGAATGCAATATCAATTAAATATATTAGCAAACAACTTTAAAAAATAAAACATAGCTATAAAGTTGAATATTCTTCTGTTGTTCCCAGTACTGTACAGTACACAAATGTTCTAGCTAAGCTGAAAAGTTATGGGGACAATTTTAAAAGTTCACACACACAAGCTCACACCCATATTCTTCTAAGGTAAATAATCAAGATCTGATGCCTGTTTAACCCCTTGTGTACAGGTTCCCCCCCAAGAGCTGATTAAAATTGTCTGGTGATGTCCCCGTAGTGAAGGGGGTTAAGATCGTAATTTATCTTTCCTTTGACCTCAGTAATTCATGGCTACCACTTAGATCAGCAACACATACACAGTCCAACTCTCTTTCAAATATTGCTCTTGTTTTCTTTCTCAATGTTTCATCTCACCAGCTAATAAAACCTCACTGTAAGCCTATTGTGTTCGCCCCACTGCTCAGCCTCTCTCCCTCCCGCTTACACGTTGTTTAAGTAAGTCAAGAGGTTATTACTCATCACGAGAGACAACTGAACAATATACAGTATATAAGTCTCTTCAGCGAGTGTTTTAAACATGGCTGAGTGTTGTCTTAAAACATCCCTTTTTTTTTTGTACACCCATATTAATTAATCACAAGCTAATTTGTCATGTCAGTCCTCCATCCCATCCACGAACCCTGAGACTCACGAACCTGTGAATCCAAGACATCACAGTACACCATGTATCGGCCCAACAGTGTGTGATGTCTCGGATTCACAGGTTCATGAGTCTTAAATTTCATGGGTAGGATGGAGAACTGACAGGACTTTTTTTTCCGTGACTGTATATGATAAGTCTTATCTCCTGACACTAACAACTCTTAACAATATTTTACTGTATGGATGATGATGCTACAGGTGACATAATTCTCAAGTTTCTACAAGTAAACACCTTCAGTAAATATGAAAAATGGTACTTATAATACAACACTTTATTCTGTACTGTACTGGGAGATGGCAATATGGAGACAGACACATCACTAAATAGGCTGCACAGTGGCCAAGCTTTGTAGCCCACACAAGCATCTTACATTATCCTTATTCTAATCAAGCTTATGACAGATCCAGGACAGGAAAGATTAGTTTGTCAAGATAATTAGAAAACTTTAGTAATTTCTCATTAGTTGTTAACCATACGTACACTGCACTGTAACACCAAATTCCAAGTTAGAAAATCTGCAGTTTAAAAAGAATTAATTGGCAGCTGTAATCTAGTGCTCAGAAGCCAAGATACTGTACTGGTGCCCTTCCCCCTACCTCCCCCAAGATTGAGACATATCTAATGGGGTGACTGTCATTAACTGTGCGGTCAGATAATAGTTTAAGTCCATCGAATGGGGCGACTAGCATTAACGGTATTGTCAATCGGATAATAATTTAACTACTCAGGCCATGTACAGGTCCAGTATGACAAATGGACCACTGGTGTTAGCAAATGGACGACCACCAGAGGAACATGATGTCTCCACTGTTACAGCCGCAGGCATAAAATAGGAAAATGTTACCTTATTTTTGTTTTTACCGAGACGAAACAAAAGAATAAAGGTAAACGTAATTGTGTAACAGTTTCCGAGATATACCAGTAGTCGTTTATCATCAAAATACGCCCACATCCAGTCAATCTTTTATCACGGCTTGCACACACAATAAGCCATTATGCAAAAAAGCATACAGAACCCCTCAAAATTTCTACCATCTTAACTTCTGTACAATTGTCCAGTGAAGGTCACAGAGTATATCTTATGAGGTAAACCATTTTATAAGGCTTTGTCCCATAAGATAAAAAAAAAGGAAAAAAATTTCAAATTTGACGAGTAAGCAAGTGACTTTTCTATGTAGGGAGGACCTGCATAGTCAACACAACACACAGGAAACACAAACAGCACACAGGAGCTAATATATCAAAGCTATTTAGATTCCAAACATCATGTCGCATTACTGTAAACATTATACTGTACGTACTGTATTTACACTTTCTGAAAATGTATGAACATTTTAACTCCTTGTTGAGATTAAGGTAAAATTGCATGTTTCCCCCAGTGTATGAAGATGATTAACTCTGTATTAAACAGTCAACAAGTATTATAAGCAAGGCAGGTTACCCACACAGCAATTTACCCGTGTTAGGTCGTCACGTGTATTGTTCACAAAAACTCGTTCCTCACGTAAATGTCCCCAATATTTCATGTACGTACATCAAAAATTTACATGGAGGTATGTGTGTGTATGCACAGTAGAACCTCGGAAATCTGTTGTCCTGACGTCCCACAAAACTGACACATTCTAATATCAAAATTTCTAATCCTTGAAAAGCTGCCATTATCACTGGAGGTTATCTGTGCAAAAAATGGAATGCAAGGAACATGAAATGTCCACTGATGATGGCTGCCATCCCTACAGCTAAAGTCCACTGATGATGGTTACTTTTTACATTCACTCAAAAATTTTGATAATCGTGGTGTGTGACAATCTCTGACGGCCAGCCATGTCTTCTGTTTGTTATTAACTTGCATCAAATGACATCAGCAGAAAATAAAATTAAGTTCTTGAAATTTGTTAATTATCAAATTCCATGAAGGAGAAAAATACATAGCAAATTACTGTGAGAAAAACTATTGTCGTAAGTGATCAATACTGAGAAGTCAACCTAAACGACAAAAGAGTGGATGTATATAAGAGGCAGCAGCTCAGCGGGGCATCAATGTGACAGGTTTAAGAAATGATAACATTGTTAAGTTGTCCAAAGCCATTTAGAGAAATTTCCCCACAAAGGTCAGTGATACTGAACACTACATATTATAAAGTGTTACAGACAGAGGAGAAACTATCCTGCAAGTACAGTATAATGTGGGAAGAGTTTGTGTATGATAATTATAAGGTGAAATAGGCCTATTATAGTACTACTGCAGTCCTGTAAAAGTGAGAGTAAACCATACACAACATAAAACATGAACCACATATACCCTTCCTTATGACAGGTTAGGTAAGGTTATATTTCATGTCATAAATGGTTTACTGTTGCCTCGTATACAAAGGACCCCATCAGTTGGTGTGCCTCCTTCACTTTATTTCTACATTAATTTCACTGGGTAGTTTGTTGTTTGTGAGTAATAACCAATACACTGTACTCTATGATTTCTTAAGACACCTTTACTATTACCTGTACAATGCTAACCCATAATATACCTTAAGCTTTCCCAATATAACAATGTTTCATCATTTCAAGAGGTTAACAGGAGACTAACAATAATAAAACTGTAAAAATGACAAGTCTGGCAGCCTGTGACTCAATAGTGCCAGAACTCCGAGGTCGTACTGTACATAACACAAAGTTTTCCAATCATACAACATGACTTACTATGTGCACAAAAAAGCTTCCCAAGGTAAGATACTGTACTATATAATAATGTTATCAAAGTGAGATGTTACCTGTACTGAATTCCCTTCCTTCTACAATTTTTTATTATGGCAGATCTCAACAATAAATTCTAGAGCAAACAACACCTTGATAAGCTTTAAGTCTAAGCTGTTTAATGACAACCAAAAGCAAAACTCCTAGCCTGGTTCAAGAAAGACTTTCAAAATTCCAAGTACTGTATAGGTTCTGGGAGGGTTTGCATTTTTGCTGCACAACACTGCCAACATTTCTAGCATGTCTAAAGCACTCCAAATCCCCAGGCCACTGCCACCACTTCATGAATGAGCTTTGTTCATACTCCGTCTCTGCCCAGAGCGGCCTGACGGAACACACTGCCTGCAGCGTTGGCTATGGAAAGGGAGCTGTTGCGCTGCTGCTCCTGGCAAGAGTAAGTCCACATATAAGCATTATTATTCATGGACAACAATTTTAATCATAACTCGTTTAATTCAGTGTAAAATAGTCATGATATTTTATTTACAATCTATCAATTGTTTAGTCTTGCACAATAATGTAACAAACACATCTAGTCCTTCACTCTTACCAACACATTCATCATATATTCTTCAACACAAATCCCTTACAGCTTCCCTTAACAGTACCTCAAACTTTTTAATCACCCAAAGTCGTATTAGTTTACCGTCAACTGCACCGTTTTCACTTTTCATTGGATTTTCCTCGACTTGAAGAGCATTAGTCAGCCCTAAAGACACTTATTTGTCCAACTGGCCATGAAACACAACAGGACTGTGTGTGTGTGTGTGGGGCCAAGCTGTCTACTTACTACCTGTGTACCATTTCTGCTCTGCCTTATTGCGTACTGTTCACTATGTTTGTGACTATGCAATAATTCTAGTGATCTATTGATGGTACTGTACATGGGGCAGGCATGGCACTAGTTGTATTGCATTAGTCGAGCAACAGATTCTAGCAGGGACCTCTCTTTAGCTTCTGAACAGGTGTGTATATAAACAGTAGAACCTCGATAAATTGGACTAATTGGGACGGACCCCAGTCCGAAAAATTTGAAAGCCTGAAATATGAAAATAGATTGGGGGGGGGGCAGGGGGTGGCGATATGAACAGAACTCTCTGGGTTGAATATCAGACATATAAGTCTGTTTTTTGTTATCACCAAGGTGAGTGTTATGTACTGTAAAGTGTTATATGTAAGTAATCACAGAATTTGTCTTAAGAATTAAGAGAAAACTGTATACAGTACTGTACATTACTATAAAGATAAAAATAAGGACAAACAAATGTAGGAGTATATTGTATGTGGAAGACAAGTGTTTATCTGGGAGCAGCTGGCAGAGGGAGGGGAGGGGGGTAGCACAGGTGGGTACTCCTTCCCCCAAGATTACTTTAACACTTCTTTATGTAATTTCACCATAATTCTCATATAATTTAGGATAATTTGGTGCTTACTGAAGATGTTATATTAATCATGATGAACCATAAAAGGCCAATCATATGAGAATATAATACTACAGGTAAATCAATAAATGAATAAACGACCCTGACAAATGTGACAACACCTGATCAGCCCCAGCCTGCTTATATACTCAGTGTCTTAGTTCTCAGTAGCCTGTAGAAAATCTGATTAGACCACTGTACAGTATTCAGTAAGTGTTGTTCATTTCATAAGATTTGTTCTTAATCTTCCCCATTTCTTAAAACATGTTTTTTTATTATCTGGTGACCAAAGCATCTCAGAGGCCAAAAAAAGCGAATTCCAATATATTGAAGTCCAATTTATCAAGGTTTTACTGTATAATTATGAACTCGCCTCCTCTCTCCTGTCTGTAATTAAGAGGGTTAGCTAGCTGTATTGTTAGAGTATTTAATGTACAGTATATTTCCCCCTAACTGACTAGCAGGAAACTTGACCAGCTTTTCTTCATCAAGTTACTCGCATTATCCAAACCAAACATTCTTCATGTAAGCTTCTACTTGTATTATCTTTAGATATATAAGCTCTTGCTTATAATATTAAGGGAAAAAGGCAGTAAACTAATGGAAATGACAAGTGATCGCTTTTATTTCAACGAGGAGGCGACACTAACAATGATTTCTAAGAAGAAGAATAATAACAATAAGGGTGATGCCTGTACACTTTAATCTTATGGGAAAAACCAAACATCGTGCACTTATGTTCTCACAAGCAAAATATCAAACCATTTACTGAAGGTCATTAAACATTACTACTGATGGAGGTACAATACAGTACTAAGTCACATCATAGTAGAGTAAATCTGAATATACCGTACATAGCAAACACCTGAGAAAATCTTTGGAGAATATATTATTGTACTAAGTCTTACTGTACAGTATGTCAGAACACTCGTAGCAAACATTTGCATGTCAACAGACCTGAGACTCTGATGTGTCTGCCGTGACCTGGTCTCTCACACGATCCTGACACACCATTACACATCGCTGTAGTCGTTCCTGGGGGAAAAAAATGTGAATTTCGTCAACTTCTAATAGTAAACCGCCATCTTCAAGTTTAAATACCCTTGACTTCAGCACCTCAGTTACCCAAAGAGAGATTAGAGTACCTGCAATTGCCTAGGTTATACTACAAACGGGCAAGGGGGGATCTAGTTCAGATGCATAAACATCTCAAAGGGCACTACTCAGTCGAGTGTCACAGCTCAAGGTTGAAGAAGGCTCAAGTCCAGAAAACTGTGAGGGCTATCTTTTTCGGAGTGAGAGTTGTGAACTCATGGAACAACCTGCCAGTGTTGTGACAGCACCGAGTGTGAGCAGTTTCAAAACCAGACTTGATCAGCACTGGAGCAGGTTCAGATATATTCAGTAGCCAGTGCATGCCCAGTACTTGCCAACAGTGCCTAACAGATATATGACCGACAGCCCAAGCGCCAAACAAGCCAATCAGTGGTGAAGAAGATAAAAGTAAAAAAATTATGGGTTTGCCTTTAAGATGAATAAAATTACGAAGGGGTTTGTGAAGAATGTCTACTAACCCTTGTGCATGGGTTCCCCTCTGAGGTGAATAAAATTGTCTGGTGTTAGTCACATATAACATTAAAAGTAGCATCCCAAGAGTGAACGGGTTGAATGTCATCCTGGAACATAATGTTTCATCCACCACAAAATACAATGAACTAATTACCCGGGATGGAGTAAACACAGGAGCTCGGAACTTCGAATATTGCACAAAGAAGAAAATTAAAGGAATAAGTTTAAATGGTAAAGTTATTTTGTATTCATGGTAAAATGTATATAAGGGTGATTTAAAATTTACAGGCATGGCGTAATTGGCTTTTTAAATATTGTATTTAATATAAATTACATGAATGCTGTAGTTTAATTTCTCTGTCTTGTATACAGTAATAACTTGTTTTGACCTTTGTCGTACCAGAACATTTATGTCTCTGAAAACCAGACATTATCTTCCCCGATTTAGGTTAAATTTTTTCCCGAGTTTGGTTAGGTTATCTTCCTTGTCTGAAATAGAGAGGAACACAAATGAAGTATAATAGCATATAGATAATAAATAATATTATACACTCGCTCCAAAAAGTGACTATACCGAGGGATCTGATGAACTTCAAAATAAACACCCCCGACTCCTGTTGTCTCGGTAGGGTTGTCAAAATCCTTCGGCCGTTGTGTCATATTGTCTAACACAGAATTGTAAAGATACTTCTCAGAGCGAGTGTACCTGTACTGATTAGCTCCCTACTTCATAAGACACCTGTTGTCACATAATACATTCTCCTCATGAGAGCATCAGAGAGGACCACTGGAGCAACAAGGGATCACCAAGCCTTCAAAATCGTGTGTCAGGACCATCAACCGACACTGTGTCATTGAGGTGTCATACTGTCGGGTCCCGAGTCACAGAAGAAGCAGCACTTGGCATATGTTACCTCGACTCGTTGGTTTAATTTGACCAATGTACTCTCTTCAAAAGCTATGCAAACACATTATTAATATTTTAAGCATACAAATAAATAAAAATAAAAGTAATCAAGAGGCTACAGTGAAACTATATTTAGCAGACTATTTGGAGAGGAAAGGTCATTATATCGAGGGTCCATTAGATGTGAAACACCCCAATTAACAGATTATGTTGAGAGAGATGTCTGTTATATCGAGGTTTCATTGTACTTATTCATTCAGATAATAATTTATGAACTGTCTTTCCTTTTATAAATAAGATATGGTGCTATGTGATGGTATACAGGTATATGGTGCTATGTGATGGTATACAGGTATATGGTGCTATGTGATGGCATATATATGGTGCTATGTGATGGTATATATATGGTGCTATATGATGGTGTATAGGTATATGGTGCTATGTGATGGTATACAGGTATATGGTGCTATGTGATGGTATATAAATGGTGCTATGTGATGGTATATATATGGTGCTATGTGATGGCATATATATGGTGCTATGTGATGGCATATATATGGTGCTATGTGATGGTACACTACTGCCCAGGCATTCGAGTATGGCAGACAAAGTATAAACAAACATGGCCATCCTTACCTGGAACTGTGATAACTCATTCTGCACAAAGCTCTGGGCCTGTGTGAGCGGCGTGGAGCAGTTCTCAATACACCGGTGGACTTGATCAACCGAGCTCTCCTTCCTCTCACAACATTCCGCGGCGCATAGATGCATCGCTTTCTGAAATTAACATGTGATGCCCCTCATAACACCATCTGTGAGAGAATTACTACACCACATCAGGCCCCTCATACACCATCTGTGAGGTAACTACTACATCATCAGGCCCCTCGTAACACCATCTGTGAGGGAATTACTACACCACGTCAAGCCCCTCATAACGCCATCTGTGAGGGAGTTACTACACTACGTGTCTGCTGTTCAACACCTCAGCTCACATGATCTACGTGTGTAAACATTAATCTGTATGTTCACTGTATGTTCCTTCACCTTTCTCTAATGAAGGCTTTTGTTAAACCACTAATCTATGTAATAACTCATTTATGTCCAATGTATATTTTCAGCCTTCGGGCTGCAAACTTTTTCAATAAACCGTTTATTATTATTATTATTATTATTACACACACAGTATGTCGCCACTACAACCTGAAACTAGACCAAGTGATAGGGGCATTATTTTTTCCCTGTTATTCCTTGGAGACAGAGTACTGAGGTGCCAAGTATTTAACATAACATCTATTTTTGTACTCTGATACAATGCCAATTTGGTTAAAGCTTCACTAACTCGCAGGCGGTGACACATAACTAGCGTGTGGTAGTGTCGTGACGCCCGCAGACAGCTGCCCTTTCATCAACCAATATAATGAGCCAAAAACAAAGTGGGAAGTGGTGTCCTACCCTAAGCTAACCTTCCACCAAACAGCATAATAAAACGTAAATCAAACATGGTGCAGTAATTATTGAGGATACACTAATTTTGAATCACATGGAAAAAAGAACTGTGCACTACTATAAATTGACTCAGTGAGCATCAGTGGTGAAGAAGATAAAAGGAATTAAATTAAAGAGCTAACTCTATAAATTTACAACATTATACCCGGTACTCCAGGACATATCAACACAAATGATTAATGACCCTACAAAATAACTCATAAAACGTGATAATATATGTGAAAATACAAGTGAAGAATATTAATTAGGAATAAAATACACTAAAATAATTACGTAAACTTTAGTACACGATTGGCCGGCGATTCCATCCCTTTCTCTACACAACTTTTAAGACAATACCTATATATTATACTAATTAAATACCTCCTTTTTACCTGAATTAACCACTAACCTGCATTCCTCGTAAATATGTCTTATCTAGGTCGTCCACCAGAGCTGTCATAGCCTCTTGAATACGGAACTGTGCCTGGTCGACCATGGTTACCCCGGTGTGTGTGTACAACAGCTGATCCCGGCGGCATGGGTGGCCCGGCCTCTCTTGTTCACTCTATACCACGAGCGACAGTACTTCAGAGATAGATAGATAGCTAGATAGATAGATATATAGATAGATAGATAGGTGGATAGATAGAGTATATTGACAATGCAAGTATACAGTGTTTAGCATATATATAGACAATGAAATTATTATTATTAAGATTGGCAAACTAATCCAAACTTAACTAATATGTATCATTAATTTACTATTATTTTAGGTTAATAATGTGTTGCCCCCATTAAGTTATCATAGAGTGGTGAAGTCATCAGTTTATTAGTCAGAACACTTTAGTAGTTCCTGTTCGGTGTATCTTTCAACATTAGCCGTTTTGCGCACTTCCAGGTAGGAAGGTATATTTAGTATTCCTATTATACTAATTTCCATAATGTGTATGTTATAAATATCACGTGTATTATTTTTCATTATCAATTTATGATTGACAGGATTCTATTTTATCACTCTAATCCCTTTCGTGTTTTATTAATTTTGAGAATGTTTTATTTGGTCTTAATGGTCTTCATATCGAGTTTTGTTAATTGATTACGTTTTATAAATAGTTCATCATTATAAACCAATTTATATTTAAATTGAGACCGTTTATATACATGTCATTGTAAAATCCGTTTTATTCTCTATTTATGTAGGTGTCAAAGTACTTTTTAACAACCATTTTGAAAATTTACGCAATTTTTGTCTCATTTCACGGTATTTAAGGTATAAAACTAATTAATTTTCCCTCAAAATGTCATGTTTGTTGACCTTGATATTTGGTCGCTTAATGATATATTTACCACAAGTAAAGTTTTCATCATAGAAAATGAATACTTTCTGGGTAAACTAATTTATTTTAGCGACATTTCTTCCCTTACTTTTTTATTTGCGTGAATAAATTTGCGTGAATAAGAAAATTAAAAAGATGTTTTAATATACGTTCGTGATAAGAATACAAACAATTTACATCGACAGTAATGGTATACAAAAATATCTCTGTTCAAAACATTTCTGAAATAATATCAACACAGGCAAACATCTAAAAATAACATTATAGCTTAAGTGTGACCAGCATAATATACTGTAGATGACAATACCTTTATTTAAGCGCCCCACTAACAGACGGACACAAACATCTTTCACCATATTACATTACACATCACTACCTCGTGTCTACCAGAATTTATTAAACTATTGAGAAATGTTGCAAGTCATCTGCCGTGTAAAGGGTAAATATAAACAAGGGTCCAGCAACTCAGGTCTTTTTTTTTTCTTTTTCTTTTTTTTACGGGATTAGCCCACCATGGCACAGGTCAATGACTCACATCAGGGCCTGGGGGCGAGAATATAAGAAGAAGAAGAAGAACAGGAAGAAGAAGAAGAAGAAGAAGAAGAAGAAGACGAAGAACGAAGACGAAGATGAAGAAGAAGAAGAAGAAGAAGAAGAAGAAGAAGAAGAAGAAGAAGAAGAAGAAGAAGAAGAAGAAGAAGAAGAAGAAGAAGAAGAAGAAGAAGAAGAAGAAGAAGAAGAAGAAGAAGAAGAAGAAGGAAGAAGAAGAAGGAAGAAGAAGAAGAAGAAGAAGAAGAAGAAGAAGAAGAAGAAGAAGAAGAAGAAGAAGAAGAAGAAGAAGAAGAAGAAGAAGAAGAAGAAGAAGAAGAAGAAGAAGAAGAAGAAGAAGAAGAAGAAGAAGAAGAAGAAGAAGAAGAAGAAGAAGAAGAAGAAGAAGAAGAAGAAAGAAGAAGAAGAAGAAGAAGAAGAAGAAGAAGAAGAAGAAGAAGAAGAAGAAGAAGAAGAAGAAGAAGAAGAAGAAGAAGAAGAAGAAGAAGAAGAAGAAGAAGAACAGGAAGAAGAAGAAGAAGAAGAAGAAGAAGAAGAAGAAGAAGAAGAAGAAGAACAGGAAGAAGAAGAAGAAGAAGAAGAAGAAGAAGACGAAGAACGAAGACGAAGATGAAGAAGAAATATTAACAACAAATTAAAAAATATAATATAATATAATATAATATTATATAATGCAATATAATATAATGATACAAAAAATCAATAGTGAGAAACGATATATGTATGTTGTGTTGTCAAAGTAAGAGAAACAATTGAGACCCTGCAATTGTGTGTAAATGAGGCAGAAAGTCGGTACAGCAACCTGGGACTGCTGTACTGACTTTCTGCCTCATTTAGTATTTGGGTTTATAATTACACAAGCGAGGCTACAACACTTACAACAAAATTAAATTTATATTATCTTCTCTTGTGTTGTTGTGATTTTGTTATATATTTATTTTTATTTAAATAAACTTTTTAACAAGAGTAAATGTATTTTGTTGAGGTATGACTCGGCTTCAACAACATACTTTTTTTTACTTGACAGCACTAAAAATATGTCCTGTTTATTTATATCTGTCTGCCTCACACCCTGGAAAATCTTAGCTGTGACCGTTAGATGTGAAAATAATAACAAACTACATATACAAATGCTTACACACATGATTACAAAAGACATACATACATACATACATACATACTTACATGCATAATAGTTGCCCCTCTTGTAACGAGAATGGCTGACCAAAGAGCCACCTAGGCGTGAATTTGTTTAAGGTGTAGAAGCTGTCGCCAACACAACAACCACACCCTGAGTTAACGAGCTGCATGACCGAGACTGAGGGTTGTTCCGCCACTCAGTTAAAACAGCACGTTTTTTTTTACTTTTATCCTCTTCGCCACTGATCGGCTTGTTAGCCGCTTGGGCGATCGGTCACGACTCTTTTCCTTTATATTCTTCACCAAAAGGTCGGCTCGCTAGCCGCCCGGGCGATCGGTCACGTCTCTGTCACGCACTGTTGGCAAATACTGGGCATGCACCGGCTCCTGAATGTACCTGAACCCGCTCCAGTGTTGGTCAAGTCTTCTCTTGAAAGAGCTCACACTCGGTGCCGTCACAACACTCTCTGGTAGATTGTTCCAAGAGTTTACAACCCTCACTCCGAAAAAGTTTGCCCTCACGGTTTTCCGGACTTGCGGCTTCTTCAATCTTGAGCTGTGACCCCTTGTGGGGCGAGCGTCCGCCAGCTCCAAGTAAGGACACTCAACTGAGTAGTGCCCCCTGAGATGCTTATAAACCTCAACTAGGTCCCCCCTTGCCCGTCTGTAGTATAAGCTAGGCAAGTTCAGGCGCTCCAATCTCGCAGGGTAGCTGAGATGCCGAAGTGCAGGCACCAGCTTGGTGGCCCTCCTTTGAACATTTTCAACCAACTGACAGTCCCTAGCATATCTCGGGGACCAGATGGGGTGACAGTACTCCAGATGGGGAAGCACTTCACTCCTGAAGATCGTCACGAGGGACGGACCGTCTAGATATCTGAACGACCTTCTTATAAGACCCAATAATTTATTTGCCTGATTTACCTTCTTCTCACAATGGCCCGAGAACTTCAGCTCATTGTCAACATACACACCTAGGTCCTTCTCACACACAGTCTCAACTAGTACATTTTCTTCATCCCGTTGGGACATATGGTACGCCTCCTTACCGTTGGTACGCCCCAGGTGCATCCTCTTACACTTCGTGACATTGAATCTCAGCAGCCATTCCTTCGACCATTCCTGGAGCCCACAGAGGTCCTTCTGCAGCTCTTCACAGTCCGCTTGGTTCTTAATTTCCCGAAATAACTTGGCGTCATCGGCAAACATTTGTATGGAGGAGTGTACAACGTCAGGCATATCATTTATGAAACAAACAAACAACAGCGGGCCCAATACACTACCCTGCGGTACCCCACTTGTTACAGGTACAGATGACGATTTCGTGCCATTAATCACCACACATTGCTTGCGGTCATGTAGAAAGTCTTCTATCCACGCTAGGACATTTCCCCGAATTCCGTACCCTTCCAGTTTGATTTTCAGCCTTTCGTGGGGTACACTGTCGAAAGCCTTGGCAAAATCTAGGTAAATATTGTCGATATTACCACCCCGTTCTAGAATATGGGTCCAAATATCCAATACCTTGAGCAATTGTGTCAAGCAAGAGCGCCCCGGCATAAAACCGTGTTGGCAATCTTTTACAAGGTTGTTTCGTAGTAGATGTTCCATCGCTGCATCTCTGATAATACTCTCAAGTACTTTACATATTATGCTGGTCAGGCTCACTGGTCTATAGTTGTTCGTGGAGTGCCTATCGCCCTTCTTGAAGATAGGACTCACATAAGCCACTTTCCATTCACTGGGGACCATTTGTTCATCCAGGCATTTACAAAACAGAATCTTCAGGGGCTCTGCAAGCTCGTTGCACAGCTCCCTTAGCACTCTAGGATGCACCATGTCAGGTCCAGGACTCTTATGGACCTTTAGCCTGGACAGTTTATTTCTAATACCCTCTTCTGTGAACACAATGTGGGTCAGTGCTGTGTCGAACCGTCTGTCCTCAAACGCAGGAAGGTTAGTTGCATCCTCTCTTGTGAACACTGAGGAAAAGAAGCTGTTCAATGCCTCAGCTTTATCCTGGTCAGAATCTGCGTAACTACCATCTTCAAGCCTCAGGTCTGATACTCCTACTCGCGTTTTCAATTTCGACTTTGCATAGCGGTAAAACGCCTTTGGGTTTGACTTGACCTCGCGTGCAACCAGCCTTTGGAACTCCTTTTCAGCCCTCCTACACTCTATCTTTGCTTGGTTTCTGGCTCTTGCATACATCCTCCTGTCTTGCTCATCGTTTGACCCAACCCACGTCTTGAATTTCTGGTTTTTCTTCTTAATTTTGTCGACCGCCGCATGGTTCATGTGTAGGGATCCCCTCGTATTCCTAGAAGCACTGGGTTTGGTCTTGGGTATATATTTATCGATCAAATGGGTCATTTTACTAGTTATGATATTCAGCGTAGTGTCTGCGTTCTTGTACCTTAATAAGTCAGGCCAGTTGATACCCCTCATCTCTTCCCTCATCCCATTGTAATTTCCCTTGTAATATTTGCACCTTGGCCTGGCCTTATCTTGAACTAGGTAACAGTTAAATCTGAATGACAACACTGTATGGTGACTGGTGCCAACTGGGGCAAGGTGTTCCAGTTTGGCCACCATACCCTCCTCGTTTGTTATGATGAGGTCAAGTGGCTTGGGTGTTTGTTCCCCTCTGTAATGTGTCGGGTCTCTCACATGTTGGAACAGAAAATTATCTCTCAGAGTTTCTACAAAAAGAGTAGCAGGATTATTCAAGTCATTCGGGGTTGACTCGTTTCTCCAGTCGATGTCGCCATAGTTAAAGTCCCCCATCAAACCAGTCCTGGTGTATTCTTTCGATTTGGCCATGCCAGTGTCGAGAATATCCTATTCGGCACTGGGATTTGTGGATTTTGTTTTCGGGTTGTTTGTCAACCTATGTTCGAGCTGTTCTCTGAAAGCATGAGCTACCGCTGGATCCTCCAGACGTTAAGTGTTAAAACCTCTTCTAGAGACTTGTTACCTTAGCCGTTTTGTGGGGACGTGAAGTCAGAGCTT